GAGTGGATCGGGATTTTGATCCACGGACTGTGGGCGTAGTAAGCGTGCCACCTGCCACAACACCACCTAGGCCACCCCAGAAAATAAGGTTTGGAATCGCATTCTGTTAAAAAGCTTGGCGTGCACAGAGGAATGAAAACACGACAGCAAGAAAAGGCAGGAACTTCTGTATAGTAAATGCGAGTAGTTTTACGACTTCCCCCCCCCCCAGTCATCCATTTCATTTGCACTTCGCATTCGAAACGACCTTGTCATAAATTTTGCATGAGTGTAAAGATAGTAGACTTACAACGATGAAAGGTTGGCAGTTGCTCATGTCACGTGTAGTCTGCCCAACAACTGATTTATGATTATTTTAGAGATATTCTGACCTCGTTCACGAAACCGTTGATTTATGGTAATGTAAAAGATGTGCCGTGATGTCTTTTTTTACGTTGGAAGGCTGACCGCCTTGAATGTCTTCACCCTCACTTCCTTATGTTTAGACAGAAAACATATCAGCAGCTTGAGTGTTATAGGCAAGGCCCAAAGGCACAGGCAGGGATCAAGGCGAAGCTCCCTAACGACTGGACCAAAGAAGCATTTTATCCCTAGAGAGGTAAGTGGCAGCAAAGATGTCTGGGAGGATAAGTACTCTGAATCGTACTCAGATGGTCCCTAGGAAAAGGTATCGTGAAAGAACCACGTTGAAAATGCCGCTGGGAGTAGAAATGGAACTAGGGTATATGGCGCACCCCACAAGGTATGATCAGTGATATAAGTTTCGATGCTATGTATAAGGATTGGAATAGCACAGAGAATTAAAAAATTTAAATTTTTTGAAGTTTTCCGAGTTTTCAGAATAAAAACTCTGTGATCTCATGGTGCTTTTCGAACATTCGTAGCCTTGGACATAGCACTACCTTTTTATTATTAATTTATGCGCCAGATAGACAGGCTGGGACAAAACAGACGGCAGACGGAATAAGGTAATTAACCAAAGGGACAACAAATTCAATGAACCTTACCGTTTATACTCGTCAGATGACGGCAGTTTCAGGAACTTTTCGTCGAATTCCAGTGCAGGTTTAGGTTCCGGCCAAACGTCCGTGCGTGGCTCAACGACAGCTCGTCTGAAACAATATTATACTTTGTTCATACTGTTTCGGACCATACTGGGTTTCTCGCTCTCACCGATTCTGCGCTGGTCCTACGAACAACGTAGTTTCAACCTCTATCAATTCTAGGATAAAGGCTTTCCGCAGTGTTTGCCAATCACAACGACCAAACACCCCCCGATCAACCATCGCATAAGTTGGCATACATGTTGATCATGTGCTAGCAGCGCATTGTTTGTCATTGTCAGGTAACACTTGAGAAATGTCATTTGAACTACCGCTTTTTAACAGAACTATAGGAGAGTTGGTGCTCAAACAGTGGTTTTTGGCGCTCGGGTGGACAACAAGGCATGTGGCGATATTTTCGAGTAGACGGTATCTGCAGGAGGGACTCTGTTCGGAGGGGTATGGAGCAAAACAGAAACTTAACTCTTTTAACATATATTTTCTATTCAATGTGACTCCGTCAGGTGCGTGGCGAGTCTCCCGTCAGGTCATTCAGCCATGTCTCGGAACGGTGTCATGCAACTCTCCCAAGAGCTCATGTACTACCACTCCGCGAGTGGTAAATGTTACCTAGGGCTGCAAACATATCTAATAAACTTAATCTGAAGCTTTAGTATCGTTCTGCTCGCCCTCCGTTACCGATTTATGAGTGCTTAATATTTATTTGTTACATACACTGTATTACCATCGCAATTCAAAAGCGAAAAGCAATTTAGTGGACAGCCAAGTAACTTTCAGTAAATTCCAAGTGGCCAGGAAATAGTGAGAGTGCGAAAAAGGACGGCGCTGACACCTTTCTCGCGCATCGAACCGCGTGAGGCAGTTGACTCATCAATGGGCAAGCCAGATCCAGCCTACCAGCAGACCCACTCCTAGCAGAAGTCTTATCGTAAACTACACCACGCCTCAAAAAAATTTCCTACGGCAGATTGAAATTTGTGAAGACGCCTTTCTGCAGATGAAGAAAAGTGCTGTAACTCGAATAAAGACCAACTTGAAGCAAAAGAAGGACTGGACTGGGGTCGTTACGGCATCATTTTCTGTTGGTCAGATTAGAACTCACTGTGCTCCCACCACGGATAGCTGTAAAACAATTTGATGGAAGACCGTACGAACTGGAGGAGATATTTATTCTCATCATCATTTACACTTTCGTATCTGATCAGCTGCGTGCGCCGCCCCTTGATCAATGCTCCGATGGGCCATCGGCCCAATCTCATTTTTTTAATCCAGCGTGATTATGTGGTTTATGCAATGTTCACTCCGACGCCCCTAGGCATTCGCTTTCGCCTGCTCTACTGGAAGCAATGAGAGGAGCCTGGCGGAGGCATCTGAATAAGCTTTCGAACGAACGACACTGCAGTCAACACTCAATGCAACATATAAGACCATAATTTAGGAGAGCGCGAGTAACCCTTAGAATGAGTGGGGAACCCCTGGTGCATTCCAACCTCTTGTGATTCTTGACCACTATACGCTGCCCTCGAAGGTCTCCTGGGCGTCAAAAGCATACGAATCAAGGTTCAAAAGTCGTTTGACTATCCACCACAGATGGGCCAGTCCTTTAAGGCTTTCGATTACCTTGCGCTTCATACTAATGAATCTACATTGAATCTTGTGTGGGATTTAGACATTTCAGCAAAAAATTTAGCCCTAGATCTCAACTTTTCCACCGAGATTCCGACCGTTAGGGCTACACAACGTCGTAAATACGATATTCAAAGTAGACGTAAGAGCCATAGAGCAGTAACAGTAGGAGTCACTTTGGCCTACCCTTCCCTCTGAAATCGGTACAAACTGTAGCACTAATTGTAAGCTACATAGCTCGTTGTACTGGCTACGATTATGACATTCATTGTCGGTCTTGGCGCCTTATGCACTGGTTTACTGCTTACTGTCGCCAAAAGTGGCATAGCCGGAAATGAGTATCATGCTCGCGATGAAGGCATTGGGTGAACCCCCGTAAGCTGCCATGAGCAGGGTTTGAGCGAAAAAAAGGAATAAAAGCGAATACGTCTGCCCGCGCCTTCTTTTTTTTCAAACGTCGCATGAGACGAATGCTTTTTTTGAGGGCGACTTTTTCCCCAGCGTGCTGACAATTTTCTAGACACATCCGCCACTCATTCGATTTCCACTCACAATCGTATTTGAAAGCGCATGTGGCCTAGCATTAGCTTGTAACAACCGGACAACGTGTAGGCCAGTGTATCCACACAGTGAAGTCTAAAATTACCCTAGGCAGTTCGGAGGTTTGGTTGACTTGATCAGGATGCGATCCGTAGATATGCATATGGCGCTTGCCTCCCACATAGGTTCGTATCCCGGAAATGAAGAGGGCGTGGCTGCGTCCTCCATTCGAAGGTGACGGCAGGCAGGCTGATAGCATATTTTTGTTTAGGGCAGTCGTAATTTCGCACATCAATCTTTGTCCAGCACAAGACAGGCTGAGAGTTGTCACAAATTGGAATAGCCCGAGAAAAACGTATCCTGCGCCATGTTCAGACGATGGCCTTAGCCACGCCCTCTCCAGAACCGGGATAAGGAGTGTAGCGTAACGCATAGACAAACTTCTTTTGCTACCCAAATGCTACTCTCAGTTTGCAAAAACCTGCCAAAAAAGGGAGGAAAACACTACAACAGTCTTAACTTTGCCACCATCCATCAAACCATAGAAGTTTTTCCATATTAGCCAACCTATCCGCGGATTTCTCACTGGAAGCTTTTTAAGCTCCATCAAAGCTATTGTCTTTGTTATGGCGTTGTTTTCTTGTGTTTTTTCTTCTAGGCTAGGATACATCCATCAAACGAGCACTGAGCGAAAGACTCAGGCGTGAACACAAAGGGCAACAGGATTATCCGAACTCACTATTTGTACTAACCTGTGCACTAAACTGCTTCGTCGTGAAATCGTTGGCGTACTGACGACGTCGTTCATTTGGAACATCTTCTATTGTGGATTTCTTCACTTCAATCAGTGGACGTGGTCGATGTTTGAAAGATTGTGATCTCAATGGTTGCCGCATGTTCGGAGACAATAGGCCACTGCAAAATAAAAATTTTAAAAATGGCTAAAAAAACAACCATATCAGGGGTGCTACAATGAAGAGGCCAAATACTATGAACAACTAAGAAAGCGGGCAAGGAAAGAAGAAGAAGAGAAGCCTCCACAGAAGAGCATCGATCCAAAGCAGTGCCACGATAATTTTAACTAGACCTGCAATGCTAGCCGGGCGCTATAAGGTGGACGGAAAAACAAAAGTGAAAACGGTCCAAGAAGCTGGCCGCAAGAAAAGGCCTTCATCCCTAATGATTTCAAAAAGCGGGACGAGTTTCCTGTCAGCATTTCGCTGCCAAATAACGCCTACGGTAGACACAGCTGCCTTGCTGTATGAACTAATGTATCATCACCACGCAGCGCTTTCATAATTTACTAAGCAAATGAAGCATACGATCATCAGGAACGGTCGTCCATTTGTGGGCGGGCGGGCGTGGTAAGCGCTCGGGTCGGTATGTTGTAGCTTGATTGGGCCCTTCATAGGGGGCCTGGGCTTAACTCGGAAACATTGCGTTACGTAGCCTGCTCAGGTCGCGAATTCCGTCCTGCCAGGGCGTATTAGTCGTACTCGTCTTAGAGATTTATCGTGTCAGTTGCCTTTAAGTGAAACGGTTCTACACCAGAAGACAGAGTAACTGATCAAGTGGCAATTATTTTTTTCATAATTAGAATTACAAAAGTTGAGTTCATAAAGTGAATACGTGAAAAAGCTGAAAGTGCGCCCAAAGGTCGTGAGAAGGCGCAAGCTGATCCTTGGAAAGTTCAATATTGCCTCAGGGAGTCTAGCCCTCTCACACAGCACTCTGATTAATAGACGTTCCACTAAAATGAGACCAAATGCACGTGTGAGCCTTACTTGCGTGACTTACGTAACTTCGAAAGGATTAAAGGTAAAATCAATATAATGTAATACGAACAGGTTCTAGTTGCTGTGATAATTTGAATGTATATTGCTTAGCGCGTGAAACTGTTGTGCAGCTTTTCAGGAGTTAATTTGCGAGAGATCTTCTCCAAGGAAGTAAACCAATACGTTTTTGCATAACGTAGTCCAGTCGACTTCCAGTCAGTATTGCGACATTCGAGCCCGACTTCTTCTTCTCACATTCTTGTCTGCGAGTAGTTGATGTACACTCCATATCCCGACGATGCAGAAGGCGTGGCTACGAGCTTCATTTAAACACAGCAAAGGATATTTTTGCCACGAGATATTTTTTATTGAGATAACTTTGATCCTATCTTGTGCTGGGTGAAGCCATGATTACGAAAGCAGGATTGATTAGAAATGTCCCAAAATGATAATATTCCACTGAATGAGTAGCTACCGCCACTCTACATGAAGTCCACAGCCACGCCCTCTCCATCACCGGGATATGTAGTGTATGTACAATATCATGTTCAGTCAAGTCAGTGCTGTTATTCTGTCATACAAGTTCGGTGCCGAAGCAGCCGACCCTACAATG